GAGGCTGAGACCCAGGCCTAATTCACATTGATTGAACACCTGTTCTCTGTGCTGGAGGGGAGGAGACTTTCAAGTCAGATGTAGGCTGACTTTCCCTTCTCTCCTGGAGCCTTTTCTCCCATTGTTGTGAGGCGCCATTGAGCTGTTCAGGCCCATAGTGACCTTATGCACAATAGAATGGAAACATGTCACAGTCTGGTGCCATCCTTACAATTGCTCTTAAGCCTGAGCCCGTTGTAGCAGCCACTGTGTCAGTCTGTCTCCTGGAGGGCCTTCCTCTTTTTTGCTGCCTCTCTACCAAGCATGACGTCCTTCTCCAGACACGGGATTTTCCTGACAACTTGTCCAAAGTGTGAGACAGAATCTTGCCATCCTAGTCTCTAAAGAGCAATCTGGCCTCACTTCTCTCTGGCTAGGGAACTGACACAAACACAGGAGGCGATTACTAAACAACAGGATACAAAAATGTATGACCACATAGCTACTCATCTGACTGAAGATCCTTCTCCCTGTAGATGTTTTGTTTAGGACAGATGCCTCATCTTAAACATCTTTGAATCTTCCAAGGGTCGAAATGATGTTTGGGACTTTATAATCTTTGTTAAACTGAAATTAAAAAGAGATAGTATGGTGTTTAAAAGTAAAATGTGGGAAAATAAATAAAGTAAGATGTGTATGATCCGTTGCTTATGACCTACCAGAACATATTTCCCCTCTCTGCACCTGCTTTTTAAAAAGTGAAAACTCCCTCCCTCCCTATATTAGAGCATGCTCCCTGTAAATGAATGAGAAATGGAGAAAAACATCAACCTTAGCCATCATCCAAAGTTAGGCACTGTTAAAATGTGGATATGCTCACTGTTTTCCAGCCATGTTAATGTGTATATACTTCCCCCCAATATGTATGCATGTTTTCAGAAATATATTTAACAATTGGGGTATAATCGATGTATTCACCTTATTTCCTATTTTTCTTCACGTTTCCAGTTAGCATAGATAATACTACTTACTATTGTTCATTTGAAAAATGGGAAATCACTTAAAGTTTTTTAAAATTTATTTTTAATCATTTTATTGGGAGCTCTTACAGATTTAACATTCCATAGTTCAATCACATTAAGCATTGTTTTGAAAAATGTTTAAGTAATTTTTCCCAGTCAAAACAGAACACTTTCTAATTCAGTGTTTTTCACATGTACAAATGAAAATAATGTTTGGGAGTTTTTTAAAATGTATTTCTTGGAATTGATGTGACTGAAAGCTTTTCAAAAACATATTGGTCATTTGTTTCTGTTTCATGGTTTTTGCTCATTTAAA